AGTCGAAAAATCTTAGTAGCGTATTTATAAATCACAGCTGCTTTTTAACATTTAAATAACATTTATTTGACAAAATTGTAAGATGACATCATCAATTCTTAGGGGGCATGAACGGATAAATTTTGACTAACGATTTAACATGCTTCCAATATAACTATAAATTGGAAAATGTTATTTTTTTTTTTTCAAAATCTCGACCTCCAAGGTAAAAACTCAACACGGATTCATAAACCGGAAACTATTAAAAAAATTGGAGATTACGTCATTTCATTGTTGGTGACAAATTTTAGTGCCCATGTAACAGCATGAAATTAAAAATCAATCAGTCATATTCAATAATTAAAATTATCTTCAAAGGTAACTGTCATCTTTCGTTTTTTATTTATTCCTATTTAATTTGCCATTTCAGTCAGAAAGAAAGTATAATTGTGCTACTTTAATGAATTCAGAAAAGAAAATTGTTGGCCTTGCATTTCGAAATCAAATAAACCAAAAAAATGTTTTTGACGAATAATAATTAGAGCACAACTTCTGGTACCCCTGTACCTAATTTCAGTTGATTTGTACAATTGTTTCTCAACATATTTAACCGTTTCCATACATTCTAGCGACGGTGTATACAAAATAACACAAAGTAATGTCGACCTATGTTCTTGACATAAATAGCTATAATTACCTATTTTGCATTATATTATACATATTAATAAATTTATATCATTAAGCATGTTTTTACTTTGTATACTTAATACGTTTCCACGAACCTGCTTTTTAATTATAATAAGATTGAATAAATAAACAGAAGAATACATAAAAAATATTTTCAAACACATAAAATACATGCTTGAACACATACAGGTTAATAAATTGAAAGAAATATCAAAAAAACTGAGGAATTTAAAGAGGACAAAAATTAAGAAATCGAAAAGTAAAAAATTCGAGAAATCGAAAATTCGAAGAATGGAAAAATTGAAAAAGCCCAAAATTGACTCAAAAACAGGTCAGCTCAGAATTTTACTAAAATAGAACACCAAAGTTCCCCACAGAGAAGTGAACAATCGAAACTGAGAATTCGAGAACTGAAAAATCAAAAAATCGAAAAATGGGAGAACTGAAACATCGAAACATCGAAAAATTGGAAAATCGAAAAATTGAAAAGCTCTATAGTAAAAAATCAAAAAACCGAGAAATCCAAAAATCGAAATATCAAAAAATTTGAAAACTGAGACATCGAGAAATCGAAGAATCAGAGGATTGAGAAATTGAGGAGTCGAAAGGCGAGAAGAAAAGCTGAAAATGGAAATATTGATGAATCGAGAAATTAAGCAATGAAAAAATGAAACATCGTTTGGATAAATCGAGAAATCAAGAAATTGAAAAATCAAAAAATTTGAAAAAAGAAAAATTGGAAAATCGAAAACTTAAAAATTCGGAAAATTGAAAAATTGATTAAGGAAGAACTGAAAACTCGAGAAATTGATAAAATTAAAATATCCAAACGTTGAAAAATTGAGAAATCGAAGTATAAAACAGTCGAAATATTGAAAAATCCAATATTTAACCAAAAATTGAAAATCCAAAAAGTAAAAAATCGAGAAATCAAAAATCCAGGAGTCCAAAAGTCGAAAAGGCGAAATATCCCAAAACTGAAAGAAATATCAAAAAAACTGTGGAATTAAAATAGTTGAAAATTTAGACATTGAGAAAGTAGAACAGCAAAGTCGAAAAATCGTGAGCTTAAAAAATCGAAAAATTGAAAAATCAAAAACCTGAAAAATCGAAAAATTGAAGAATTTAAAAATGAAAATGGAAACTTTGTTAAGTCGAAAAATGGGAAAATAAAGAAAAAAGATTACTTCAGAAATCGGAAAACTGAAAAATTAGAAACGTCAAAATTTGAAAAATGGACAAATCGAAATATTTAAATATCGTAAAATTAGAGAGGACAAAAATTAAGAAATCGAAAAGTAAAAAATTCGAGAAATCGAAAATTCGAAGAATGGAAAAATTGAAAAAGCCCAAAATTGACTCAAAAACAGGTCAGCTCAGAATTTTACAAAAATAGAACACCAAAGAAATGAAGAATCGAAACTTTGAGAATTGGAGAACTGAAAAATCAAAAAATCTAGAAATCCAGACCCCAGAATTTAAAAATTGAAAAAATTGAAAATTCAGACAACTGAAAAATCGAAACATCGAAAAATTGGAAAATCGAAAAATTGAAAAGCCCGATAGTAAAAAATCGAAAATTCGAGAAATCCAAAAATCGAAATATCAAAAAATTCGAAAACTGAGGCATCGAGAAATCGAAAAATCAGAGGATTGAGGAGTCGAAAGCCGAGAAGAAAAGCTGAAAATTGAAATATTGATGAAGCGAGAAATTAAGCAATGAAAAAATGAAACATCGTTTGGATAAATCGAGAAATCAAGAAATTGAAAAATCGAAAAATTGGAAAATCGAAAATTTAAAAATTTGGAAAATTGAAATAAGGAAGAACTGATAACTCGAGAAATTGATAAAATTATAAAACATCGAAAAATCAAAAAATCGAGAAATCGAGACCCCAGAATTTAAAAAATTGAAAAATTGAAAAATCGGACAACTGAAAAATCGAAACATCGAAAAATAGGAAAATCGAAAAATTGGAAAGCCCGATAATAAAAAATCGAAAAACCGAGAAATCCAAAAATCGAAATATCAAAAAATTCGAAAACTGAGACATCGAGAAATCGAAAAATCAGAGGATTGAGAAATTGAGGAGTCGAAAACCGAGAAGAAAATCTGAAAATTGAAATATTGATGAATCGAGAAATTAAGCAATGAAAAAATGAAACATCGTTTGGATCAATCGAGAAATCAAGAAATTGAAAAATCGAAAAATTTGAAAAAAGAAAAATTGGAAAATCGAAAATTTAAAAATTCGGAGAATTGAAAAATTGAATAAGGAAGAACTGAATATTCGAGAAATTGATCCAATTGTAAAACATCGAAATGTTGAAAAATTGAGAAATCGAAGTATAAAACAGTCGAAAAATTGAAAAATCTAAAGTTTAACCAAAAAGTGAAAATCGAAAAATTAAAAAACCGAGAAATCAAAAAATCCAGGAGTCCAAAAGTCGAAAAGGCGAAATACCCCAAAACTGAAAGAAATATCTAAAAAATTGAGGAATTAAAAAATTGGAAAATTTAGACACTGAAAAACTAAAACAGCAAAGTCGAAAAATGGTAAGCTTAAAAAATCGAAAAATTGAAAAATCAAAAACCTGAAAAATCGAAAAATTGAAGAATTGAAAAATGAAAATCGAAACTTTGGGAAGTCGAGAAATGGGAAAATAAAGAAAAAAGATTACTTCAGGAATCGGAAAACTGAAAATTTAGAAAAGTCAAAATTTGAAAATTTGAGAAATTAAAATATTTAAAAATCGTAAAATTAAAGTGGATAAAAATTAAGAAATCGAAAAGTAAAAAAATCGAGAAATCGAAAATTTGAAGAATGGACAAATTGAAAAAGCCCAAAATTGACTCAAAAACAGGTCAGCTCAGAATTTTACAAAAGTAGAACACCAAGGTGCCCCACAGAGAAGTGAACAATCGAAACTTTGAGAATTCGAGAACTGAAAAAGACCCCAGAATTTAAAAAATTGAAAAATCGCAATTAAAAAATGAAACATCGTTTGGATAAATCAAGAAATCAAGAAATTGAAAAATCGAAAAATTGGAAAATTGAAAATTTAAAAATTCGGAAAATTGAAAAATTGAATAAGGAATAACTGAAAACACGAGAAATTAATGAAATTAAAACATCTAAATGTTGAAAAATTGAGAAATCGAAGTATAAAACAGTCCAAATATTGAAAAATCTAAAGCTTAACCAAAAATTGAAAATCCAAAAAGTAAAAAATCGAGAAATCAAAAAATCCAAGAGTCCAAAAATCGAAGAGACGAAATATCCCAAAACTGAAAGAAACATCAAAAAAATTGGAAAATTTTGACATTGAAAAACTAAAAGAACAAAGTCGAAAAATCGTAAGCTTAAAAAATCGAAAAATTGAAAAATCAAAAACCTGAAAAATTGAAAAATTAAAGAATTAAAAAATGAAAATCGAAACTTTGGGAAGTCGAGAAATGGGAAAATAAAGAAAAAAGATTACTTCAGGAATCGGAAAACTGAAAAATTAGAAACGTCAAAATTTGAAAAATTGAAAAATCGAAATGTTTAAAAATCGTAAAATTAAAGAGGACAAAAATTAAGAAATCGAAAAGTAAAAAAATCGATAAATCGAAAATTCGAAGTATGGAAAAATTGAAAAAGCCCAAAATTGAAATATTGAAAAATTGAGACATCTAAAGCTGAAAAATAGAGAAATCGAAAGCCGAAAAATCTTAATAGCGTATTTATAAATCACAAGCTGCGTTTTAACATTTAAATAACATTTATTTGACAAAATTGTAAGATGACATCATCAATTCTTGGGGGGCATCAACGGATCAATTTTGACTAACGATTTAACATGCTTCCAATATAACTATAAATTGGAATATGTTGTTTTTTTTTTCAAAATCTCGATCTCCAAGGTAAAAACTCAACACAACTTCTGTTACCCCTATACCTAATTTCAGTTGATTTGTACAATTGGTTCTCAACATATTTAACCGTTTTTCTACATTCTAGCGACGCTGTATACAAAATCACACAAAGTAATTTCAACCTATGTTCTTGACATAAATAGCTGTAATTACCTATTTTGAATTATATTAAGTATGTATATTAATAAATTTATATCATTAAGCATGTTTTTACTTTGTATAATAATAATAAATACGTTTCCACGCACCTGTTTTTTAATTATAATAAGACTGAATAAATAAACATAAAAAATATTTTCACACACATAAAATACATACTTCAACACATACAGGGTAATAAATTAAATAGTCCCACCGAATTTTTTATTAAGACATTTTTTGGTAACATACACCAGTGTCAGATTTTTTCACACCTATCCAAACACCTCCCAACACAATTGTCTATATTTTCACAAAAACCAGTTCTTGTGGCTTCGAAAGTAGCGGCAAACCGCACACATAAGAAAAATCTATCTTTCCAGAATCGCCACACTCGATCTTCACCCTTTGCAACACAGTTGCAAAAAATAGAAACACCATCATATCCCCCAGATCTTTCCCAACGCACATTCTTTTACCTGCAACAGAGTGTCTCAGTTTTTATTAAATCATCCATGGAACGTAGGTAACTTAACCAGTCTGAAAAGGAATGAACGACTCGTGCCACAGAAATTTCCCTTGGTCGTTCAAAAATCGCTCCGGTCGAAACTCCTCTGGTTCTTTCCAAACTTCGGGATCCATATGGATTGCCCAAAGTAGCGGCATGATTATGGTACCTTTACGTATTTTCACGTTTTCGACGACTATGTCGTCTGTAGCGTAATGAGGAAACCCCAAGGGGACGACAGTTCTAATTCTGGCGGTTTCCGCAAGAGTCGCTTTTGTGTATGGTAGGTTCGATAAATCGTCTAACTGGGGAGTTTTTCCTTGTAGAACGTCGAACAATTCTTGGCGAACTTTATTTTGTACTTCTTGGTACTTTGCTAAGTACAACATGAGCCACAGTATTGAGTTCAATGTGGTTTCAGTACTAGCAGCAAACAAATCAAACACGAGTTGTTTCAGCTGAGCTGGATTGTAGATTTCAGGACAGTCGTTTTTTGACATTTCGGACAAAAAAGCTCCGATGAGATTAGTCGCAGGTGACGTTTCCATTTTTTCGTTGATAAATTTCTCTAGAGTGTCTTTAATGTCTTTGATCATTTGTTCGTACAAATTTCCCATTTTTTTGTACTTTGACACAAAGCTGAAAGTGGGGTGAAATCTAGTAGTACAGATCTTTTTTTCAAAGTGGCCATGTTTAGTGTTATACCAAAAAGATGGGAAAATTAGATGGACGCCACAGAAGTTAAGGTTGGATTATAAAATGAGAGCCAACTTGTTTCGGTATTTACTGGAAGCATCATCACAGCTCAATTAACTTACAGAAACATTAAACGTCGCCTGAGAACTTGTTTGATCTGCAGACCAGAGCGCGCTCAGACGACTGTCGACTCTATAAGCGTTCAGAAGCGGGTTTGGTTGGATTTTATAACGAATAAGTGAACATTTTTGGTACATATTTAGATGGATTTGTTTACAAATATAATATCACATGTTTCACTCGATTTTGACTTGCAACATTTTTTTTGTTTAACTAAGAATAAATTCTTTAATTGTGTTTTATAGTAAATTTTTTTCTGGAAAATGTAGTTATTTTTATATTTTGGAAACATTGTGTTCTACTTTGAATGAATTCTTAAATGTTTTTAGTGAACAATTTTTTGGTTATTTTCGATACATTGTATGATATTAACAAAAATTAAAATAATCGAAGAATTGAAAATCGAAAAATTGATAAATCGAGAACTTGAAAATACGAAAAATTCAAAAACAGAAAATCGAAACATTTGAAAAATTCGAAAAATTGAAAAATTGAAATGTCAAAGAATTGAAATGAAAAATCTAAGATTTTAAAAAATGAAGACTTAAATAACAATAAATCTAAAATTTTAAAATCGAAAAATTGAAAAATCGAAAAAGTGTGTCGAAAAATCCAGAAGTCAAAAATCGAAAAGTTGAAGAATAGAAATATCGAAAAATCCCAAAACTGAAATACCGAAAAACTGAAGAATCGAAAAATTGAAAAGTCCCGAAACTCAAATATCTAAAAATTGAGAATCTAAGAAATTAAAAAAATTGAGAAATCGAAAAATCAAAAAAAAAAGTCCAAAAATCGAAACCTTAAAGAACATCGAAAAACTGAAAAATCACAATCTTGAAAAATTGAAGAACAGGAAAATCGAAACACTCGAAAGTCATGAAATCGGAAAATCAAAACATCGATTAATTGAAAAATTGATAAAGTAAAAAATCGGCACATCGAAAAATCCAGAAGTCAAAAATCGAAAAGTCGAAGAATCGAAATATTGAAAAATTCCAAAACTAAACTATGGAAAACTGAAAAATAAAAGAAAAACTGAAAAATGGAAAAATTGAAAAATCCCGAAAGTGCGAATCTAAAATATTGAAAAATTGAGAAATCGAAAAATCCAAAAAGTGAAATCGAAAAGTCGAAAAAATTAATAATCAAAAACCTGTAAAATCGAAAAATTGAAGAATTGAAAATTCGAAACAGTTGAAAGTCAAGAAACGGGAAAATCAAAACATCGATTAATTGAAAATTTGAAAAAAAAGTTGTAAAATCGAGGAGAAAAATTGAAAAAACGTAAAACTGAAACATCGGAAAACTCAGAAATTGAAACATTGGAAATCGAGAAATTGAAAAACTCAGAAATTGTAAACTCGAAAAATTGAATAAGAAATAATTTGAAAAATCCTAAAACTGAAATTTCGATAAATAGAGAAATGAAAGAAAAATTGAAGAATAAATTTAAATATCCCAAAAACTAAGAAATTAAAAAATTGGAAAATTGATAAATCGAAAAGTCAAAAAATCATAGACCTAAAAAACTTACAGATTGAAGAATTGAAGAAATGAAAATAGAGAAACCGAAAGTTAAAAGTCAAACTTGAAAAATTGCAAAAACCAAATATTTAAAAATCATAAAATTGAGGAAGAGGAGAAAAATTGAGAAATTGTAAAATCGAAAAATTGAATAATAAATAAAGTGAAAAATCCCGAAACAAAAATTTCCAAGAATTGAAAAATGAAAGAAAAACTGAAAAATCCCAAAACTGAAATATCCAAAAACTGAAAAATTTTTAAAATTGAAAAATTAGGAAATCGAAAAATCAAAAAAGTGAAGTCGAAAAATCGAAACCGTGAAAAAAATCGAAAAATCAAAAACCTGTAAAATCGAAAAATTGAAAAATTGAAGAACTGGAATATCGAAACAGTCGAAAGTCAAGAAACGGGAAAATCAAAACATCAATTAATTGAAAAACTGAAAATTTATAAAAATCATAAATTGAAAAACTGCAAAAACCAAATATTTAAAAATCGTAAAATTGAGGAGAAGAAAAATTGAAAAATTGACAATTTTAGAATCGAAAACTTGAATAATAAATAAACTGAAAAATCCCGAAACTGAAATTTCCAAAAATTGAAAAATGAAAAAAGAACTGAAAAATCCCAAAACTGAAATATCCAAAAACTGAAAAGAAGCTAAATTTTAAAAATTGAGAAAACGAAAATTTCAAAAATTGAAGAACTGGAAAATTAAAGCAGTGGAAAGTAAAGAAATGGGAAAATCAAATCATCAATTAATTGAAAATTGGGGAAATTGGGAATTTAAAAAAATCATAAATTGAAGAATTGAAAAATCGAAATATTTAAAGATCGAAAAATTGAAAAACTGAGGTAAATTGTAAAATCTAAAAATTGAGTAATATATAAATAATCTGAAAAATTCCAAAACTGAAACTTTGAAAAATTTAAAAATGAAAGAAAAATTGAAGTACAGAAAAACTGAAAAATTTCAAAATTGAAATATCCAAAAACTGAGCAAGTAAAAAATTTAAAAATTCAAAAAGTCAAAAAAGGGAATTCGAAAAATCAAAACATTAAAAAATTGAAAAATTGAAAAATCATAAACCAAAAAAACTTAAAAATTGAAGAATTGAAGAAATGAAAAATAGAAAAACTGAGTTAAAAGTCAAATTTGACAAATTGCCAAAACCAAATATTTAAAAATCGTAAAATTGAAGAAAAAAATTGAAAAATTGAGAAATTGTAAATTCGAAAAATTGAATAATAAATTAACTGAAAAATCTCGAAAGTGAAATTTCCAAAAATTGAAAAATGAAAGAAATACTGAAAAATCCCAAAACTGAAATATCCAAAAACTGAAAAAGTTTAAAAATTGAAAAATTGAGTAATTGAAAATTCGAAAACATGAAGTCGAAAAATCGAAACCGTGAAAAAAATCGAAAAATTGGGAATTCAGAAACTTGTAAAATCGAAAAATTAAAGAATTGGAGAACTGAAAAACCGAAACAGTCGAAAGTCAAGAAATGGGAAATTCAAAACATCGATTAATTGAAAATTTGAAAATCTGAAAATTTAGAAAAGTCAAAAATTCAAAAAGGAAATATCTAAAAATTGTAAAATTGGAGACAAAAATTGAAAAAATGTAAAACCGGAAATTTGAAAAATCGAAAAATTAAAAATGGAGAAATTGGAAACCTGACAACGTGTAAACTCGAAAAATTGAATAATAATAATAAATAATAATCTGAAAAATCCTAAAACTGAAATTTCGAAAAATTGAAAAATGAATGAAAAATTTAAGAATGGAAAAACTAAAATATCTAAAAATTGATTTGTCCAAAAACTAAGAACTTAAAAAATTGAAAAATTGAGAGATCAAAAAGTCCAAAAAGTGAATTCCTAAAATTAATACCTTAAAAAATTGAAAAATTTAAAAATCATAAACGAAAAACTTAAAAATTGAAGAATTGAAGAAATGAAAAATAGAAAAACTGAAAGTTAAAAGTCAAATTTGAAAAATTTTAAAAACCAAATATTTAAAAATCGTAAAATTGAGAACGAGAAAAATTGCAAAATCGAAGAACTGGAAAATCGAAACAATCGAAAGTCAAGAAATGGGAAAATCGAAATATTTAAAAAATCATAAAACTGAAAAATCGTAGAATTCAAACATCGGAAAATTGAAAAATTCCACTACTGAATATCGAAAATTGAGTAATCGAAATTAAAAACTGAGGAACCGAAAATTCTTGTTAAAAATTCAACACGGCTTCATAAACCACAAGTTCAGGACTATGTTACTGCTTAAAATTTAAAGTAGTCAAGTTATTTCACTCTAGTATAAGATGCATAACTAAATAATTTTTTTATTGTGGTACTGCTCTTCTTTATCTGTTTGTCAACAAATGCGATGTAATTATTTGTATGATTGTAATGCTATTCGGTTAAACCAGCTGTCAAGCACTTAGAAATGTAAATTTTGTTTTTCGGAAATATTATGTATTAAATCGTTAAGATGTTCCTGTACTTATTAAGTTATGATGTCATGAATGATTTTTTTTGGCGCTTGTTACATTTTTGTTTCTAGAATACTTGATGGATGTCACCAATTACATTTTTAGTTCTAGAACATTTGTTATATTTCTTTAATCACTGAATTTTGTACTTTGGATAAGAGTATTAACTTTAATGTGTTTTGTAAACTAATTCCTATTCATCATTTAGCTCTGACGATAGTACCGGAACATATTAGCCCTCACTTTGTAATAAAACCTGAACTTTTATACCATCGCGCTAATTTCCCATCTATTTAGTGTACTTAATATATACATTCGTGTAAACTTACTCCAAAAACGGAAGGTAATTTAATGGCCCACTAACCGTGCTCAACTGTACTATTTTGTCGAGATTCTCCGTCAAATCTTTCTGGATTTGGTCGTCGCGCTTGAAAGAAGCCCCCAGAAATATGACGGCGGCGATGGTAGTTACATAATACATGACGGCTTCCGATGGGTTCACAATGGTACGATTTCCGCGACTGTGCACATACTATTAAAAAAAAGTAAGGCTATCCTGAATCGTCAAACTTGTCGACTTACTTGAACGAACTCCTCAGACGACTTTCTTATGTATTCTTCTATAGTTTTTCTGTTTGTTGCAGTTTTCGTAGCACCCGCAGTTCTTAAAAATTTCTCTACGAATTTTCGCTGATTGCGCCATAAGTCGACAGCTGTGCCCGTAATACCTGTGACGTTACTAATTATTTAGTGACAGTTTTCACCGTTCTAGATACCTCTAGTTCCAAACATGATCTTAAAGGTGTAGAGTGGCGGTCTTGCCAGAGATTCGTCTTGACTTAAAACTTTTCTTACTAATTTGGCTTCAGAAATAACCACGATGTTAACTAATCCGAGTTTTATGCTATACATGGGTCCGTATTTTTGGGCGAGTTGCATTAGGTCCAAATTAGGCGTTGTTCTGTCAATTTTGTGCAGATAACCGATAATCGGTAAACCCCAGGGTCCTGGAGGACAATCCTTGTACTCGGAGTAGAAATAAAGACAAATTACTAGTACTAGAAACGCGACTAATATGGCTGAAAGCGTCTACAACGAAACATAGTGTGAAAAATGAAAAATTACTAATTTGTTGAATTTGTTGTTACACTTACATACATTATTTTTTTGCAAGCTATAATTTTATTACAACGTTTGAACAATAACTGATTCTATTTTTAGTCAGAATCTTTTATATTAAAAACTTAATTAATTTGCAAATACGTAAATCCGTGTTTACGCCATTTTCAAATACAAGTTATTATAGTTTAAATTAATCATGAATACCCTTGAAGGATAAACAAGTTTTTTACAGTAGGTTTAAATCGAATCTAATTAATCACATTTTAAAAATATGTTATTAAAAAGTTCAATTACCTATTAAATAAAACTGCCTCGTAATTGCGCAATGATTATTAAAACAAACCATTCCGACTACCTTCGAACCGCACCTACATTTCTCGAAAAATTCACATTTTTGACAATAGAGTTACCGCGTTGTTCGTGTTTTCGGGTTTCCGAATTTACAAAAATCACTTATTTTCACCACTAACGAACGAGCAAACGTTCTACTCTTGCTTCCCACGAATTTTGCAGTTGTTTGTAAATATGAACAGAGAATTGGCGCAAAAATAATTTTTAGTGATGAAGCATGGTTTCATCTCAATGGATACATAACACAAAATATGAGAATTTAGAGCTACGAAAACCCACATAAATTTATTGAAGAACCTCAAAAAATTGGTGTACGGGCAGCAGTTACTCAAAGACGAATCATTGGACTAATATTATTTCAAGGTAAACTATAAAAAAATATTTGCAACGGTTGCTAGATATCGAAATGAAATTTTAAAGCCCTTTGCCCCTTTATTTCAGAACGGATTTTTTCAACAAGATGGAGCTTCGATTCAATGTACAATGGACAACTTAAATTTCTTAAGAAACTTCTTTGACTAATAATAATAATACTAATAATAGTTTATTGTCTAACAGAACAATGTTCCAATAGAGACAACAAATAAAATAAAAAAAAATTATTGACAACAGGGCTATTTAAACCATGAATAGTTTTTCTAAAGAGACAAACAAGTAAATCCCGATTTCTGGTATTAACTAAAGGCGTTTAAAAATTTAAAAGCAACAAAAGATGTGCACAATCTATTTGATTGTTCAATAGTGTAAACCCAAATCGTAGCTTAAATTTCAAAACGCGATTTAACAGTGCTTCCAATTCAGTTAGATTAAGTCTCTGATCGTTGTTATAGTGAGATTTATGAAGCCCCATCTTGAAAATTAAAAAAATACACATTTTTCTTTGCACTCTTTCGAGTCTTGTTACCTGGACTTCCTAAAAAGGAAACCATATAATTATGCCGTACTCTAAGATAGGTCCAACTACTGTAATAAAAAGCTTACGAACAGCAGCAACGCAGGAATAATCTCTAGTTATCCTTTTTATGAAGCCACCTACACGGTATGACTTATCAATAACATAATCCATGTGCTTATTAAAGCGTAATTCAGAATCAAAAATTATTCCTAGATCTTTAATTTCGTTAACTTTTTCCAAAAGCTGTTTATTTATAATGTAGGCGAATTCATAGTTATATAGTTTTCTAGATAATGTTATACGCTTGCATTTATCATTGTTAAGCATAATATCGTTATTAATACACCACTTCGTAATAACATCCAGGGCTGCTTGGAGCCGACAACGATCATCAATGGAACTTATTTTGGAAAAAATTTTTAGATCATCGGCAAAAAGCAGTAGATGTGATGTAGAGAAGGATACTGCAAGATCATTAATAAATAGTAGCAAGAGTATGAGACCAAGATGACTGCCCTGGAGAACTCCGGAAGGTATTAAGAGAGAAATCCCTTTAACGAAATTATTTGAATACGATTGGTAATATACGAGAAAATCCAGGTGTGAAGTTGACCACAAATACCTAAATACCAAAGTTTTTTCATTAGAAGGGCGTGGTTTACACGATCAAACGTCTTGCTAAAATCTAAATAGACCGAGTCAACCTGGCAGCCATCTTCAAAAGCGTCTATAATAAATTTATTATATTTAGCAAGATTTGTGACTGTACTTCTACCAGGAAGGAATCCATGTTGATACGGTGAAAGGATGTTTCTGTACAGTCGAATAAGTTGGTCACTAATAATTGATTCTAAACCTTTACATAAAGCTGAAATAATCGATAGAGGTCGGTAGTTAGTAACTTCAGATTTGTCAAATATTGGGACAGATATTAGTATCGATGGATTTTCTGTAGAGTAAAAAGACAGGCCAGGCTAAGCTACTAGCGCACTGATTTAGGAAGTAAGAAGGAATTCCATCTAGTCCTGGATTTAAACTAGGTTTTAGAATTAATAGTTTGTTACGAATCAAGTCAGAATTTAAGTCAATATCTTGTAAATTAACGTTATTAAGAAACACAGAGGGGTTTAATTCAGGGTTATATTTGTTCACGTTTGAATCATATACAAACTTAAAGTACGTAGCAAACACATAGCTAATATATATTTCATGGCAGATCCTTCTCACATTTACAAAAATATTAAGTCGGCATTGGTAAATAAATTTATGATAATTCCGAACGAGTTTGTTAATAAATATGCATTATCAATCAATGAAGTTAACATTAAATACATTGAGGACTTTACAATCTGAATCATTTTAACAAAATGAAAGTTCCTTTAGCATGTAATTTAATAAATTTTGGTTTAAGTGCGGAGCTCGAATTTTTGCATAACACAAACGTAGCTATTGTTGAGGAAATCACAGGAAATCACAGGAAATCAAAAGAAATCAAAGGAAATCAAAAGGAAATCAAGAGAAAATCAATGAGAAATTAACGAGAAATCTACAAGAAAACAAAGAAAATCCAAAATCATCATAGCAAATACAGTTAAACTAGATATTTTCTAGAACTAATAAACGTAACATGTACGACATAAGCCATAGCATTCATCATAAGAAAGAAAATATCAATTTAATCTTAAAAGTGGAGATTAAATAACCTTTTAAGGGCATAATGAATGAATGAAAATGAAAATTCCAGTAAAATATCATTAACTGACAGCATGATATTTCAGCTTGACAAATATTAAAGTTGTAGTTAATGAATTGCAGTTCCGATGAGAAATGATAGATTATATTGCTTTATACCTACAAACCAAATTTATAATTTCACCCCAAATTAGTTTTTAAAAATTGAGTTTGTGACATGAGGTACCAAATTCATTAAGTTCAGGTCGTGCAAAAATCTTACTCTATATATGTTCTTGCCTTGGAAGTTTAGCTCTCAAACTTGTTAGAGTATGTTTAGAAGCCTTAGATCAATGACCTCAACTTTAGCACAATTGTTAATTTTAGTATAAGAGATATGTTGCATCGAAGTGACAGACTGCAAACTGTAAACAACATTAAAAACGATTTGGATACAAAATTCGTTTTTCCTAGAGAAATAAAGAAAAAAAGTTCAATCACGAAGAGAGATTTTGTGAAAAATGATGACTTAGGAAACATTTCAGATAAAGATATACAAAGCACCGTAGAATCAGCTTTACGGGATTGTCTGCGTGACACTGAAGATTTAGGAATGGAAGTGATAGATTTCAACTATGTATTTTTGCCTCCGTGTAAAGACAATGAATGCAATGACGAAGTTGAAGATGAAATGTTTAGTGAAAAACAGTGCTATCACATTGAAAATTATAACAATTCTCAAATAGCCATGAAACGTAACTGTTTTCAAAGTTTGGAAAACGATCCAGTTGACCAAGATGAAGATTTACTGAATAATCTTTGCACAATTTCGTACTAATCTAAGAAATTTGACAAAGACATACACGTTAGAAGTTTTGATAGTGACGATATTTTTGTTGAGAAAGGTGATCTAGTCAGAATACGCTTAGATAATACAACAAAAGTTATAAAAAAGTCTTCACTTTGCTGGCTGTTAGACAATGAAAAGGATCGCGTCAGTGTAGATCGTCTCAAAAGATTTATTCAAAATAAGAAATGTAATAGTAGTAGAGTTAACTCAGAAACAGATACCTGCCTTCAACATAAAGATGCATCTCAAATTCAAAAACCAATCCAAGTTGGAAAACAAAAAAGACGCTATAATATATCAAGTGACTCATCTGATTTAGACAACCCAAGTAGTATCGAATATGATGACAGTACGGACACCGAAAGTTTGAATTCTTCCAATTATTCTGATGATTTGAATCCTCGTTTGAATCTCAGGGCTAAAAATAGTAAGACTGATCGTTCTAAACCAGACTTAAATATAGACGATTACATTATAGTACAATTAACAACTCAAAAACAAAACAAAAAATGTTACATTGGTAAAGTGTTATCACTTAACCCTATTTTTTGTGATTTTTTGAAAAGGAATCCAAAAATTCAGGATGCTTTTATGTTTCCGGACATTAAAGATCCAAGAAAATGAATATATAATGAAACTACCTCCACCTCAGGTACTCAGAAGATGCAGTTTAGTTTTTGAAAAAAAATTATTGAAAACATATTTGATTTAATTCCAGTTTTTTTTTTAAGTGATGTGATTAAAATTTGTGATAATGCAACCTCAACCTGGGTCGAGATTTGTACAAGTATATATCGTAGAGAATACTAAAGTAAGAAACTGTGCAAAATTCAAGGTGCCCATGAACACTTTTAAAGGGGAAAATTACCTCTGAAAATTTATCAAGTGGGGTTATCCACTCCTTTAATGTGCAAAAAAATTATTACGTGTTAAATTTTGCATTTCAAAAGTTTTTTTCTAATATGCTTCATTTGAAAGTTGTGAACAAAAAATTAAAAGTGTTATCATCTGTATTTATGGGTAGCTAGAATTTAGCACAGTTTTTTACTTCAACATCATCTACAATATATACACAAATCTCGACCCAGGTTGTGCGGTAAGTATTTTTTAAGAAGTTGTTTTATTTTGTGATATTTTGTTATGATCCAACAGAAATGCTTTACTTTTATGTTTAGAGTTACCGTTTTTTTTTAACATTTAATAAAATAAATGAAACTACTTGTTCTTTCTGTTTGTGCTACCATAATAAATGAATAAACCCAATTTTTAAA